AAAATTTGAGCAAACAAGTGTTCTGTATCTACTTTAATAAAGATTATTCTTTTTGCCAATGGTAGCAAAGTGATATTATTCTCAGGTTTATCTGTCATAATGTTTTTTCTTCAAATGAGCAAGCCTTATAGATCCAAATAGCAATTTCCACTGCAGTCTTGTTGCTAAACAGCTTTAAAGAAATTGGTATGTCCTCCTTATCTCAAAGTGTTTTGTGAACTATTTAGCGTAAAATAATTACCTACAGTTGTTATCCACTACTATATCACACCACATTACCCGACAAAAATATAAGTGGCTCTATGTAGTACCAACTATTAATCCATGAAGTTTTAGAAAGAAACTCTGAAAGTTACTGTGGTATTTACAAAAATGGTTACTGAACCAATTGAGTGCTAGGCCTCTGAATATCTGTTTCATAAACACAGATTCACCCGCAGGTAGATGCTTCTAAAGCAGAGTTACTACTTGAATAAGAACATTACTTTTACCTAAATAATACCCTATGACAGTAAATCTTAACTTTGGTATTGGCCTTAGGTGATTAAACGACTCTAACACTAACACTAAACAAGTCCCCAGTATTTATAGGGCAACTACAGCAGTATAGCAATGTCTCTCCTGGCCTATAAAAGCATCTGTTATTTGATCATCTTACAGCATCCTGATCCCGTTTGGGGACAGTTTATCATCCTGGTCTTGCTCAGTTACACTCATGCATGCTTGAGGTTTCACTAACATTGGGCATTTTACCTTTTAGAGTAAGTTGTGCCCTCAATTAATAGTTCATGACATGGCCTGTAGAGCACGCATTTATTCTCACAGGTGTTAAAATGAATGCTGCATTCTCAGTTGAGAAAAACTGCCTATGGGAGAAGAGTTCGCAATACAGGCTGGGAAGCACTGAAAACCAGGTTGAGAACTACAGCATGGAAGACTCTGCATGTGTGCTAACAAGTTCTGTTAAAATCTTAATGTCCTTGATGGAATCAAGTCGAGAATAGAAGTTTTCATTGATTGCTTTCCTGCATCATTCCCACATTCCACTCTTTGCTTACGTGGTGATTGCTTAGCGAGTCTTCATAACATGAAGTAGTTGTATAAAGGATATTGAAGGGAGCCATGCATCGGAAGACCAAACACTTCCAAGTCTGTTTCACCAGATCCCATATGGCCCATTTCCATCCCAAAGTATAAAAACGTTTATATCCTCGTAATAATTGAGAAATTAGCTTCCAGGCACGCTGCTAAAGTCTTTCATGTGGACTACACCAATTTACACTCTTGTTGCTCCTCACTACAACTGGCAAGGTAACATGCTAATTTTACTGATGAGGCAAGTGGTGGGACCTAGGTTGCAGATGGGATACTGCTTGTGTGAAAAGCCACGACGCTGTAAAAGTCTATTAAGAAGGGCTTAAAAACGAAAAAGCCACTCCACGTTCCCTTGTCCCCGACCATATTAGTAAATAT